GAGTGACTGAACGTATAGCAATAGTGGATAGACAAGAAGAGTGAACAGTGATTGTATAGTCATCACGCTACTTCCTATTTATTCACTTCCTTTATGATAACATGATCTGCTTAATAATGGATCGTTTGTGTTACTCACTGGTGATCTAGTTTCAAATTACAGTGTCAGCAACAACACTTACTCTTACAGAACAGGTATATTTATAAATCTAAGTATATATTGAATATTTTAGCAACTTTGGTTGACTAATTGCTTGGGTGAAATAAAAAAAAAAATATATATTCCAAGACATCAAGCTCAAGATAAACATTTCCAAAATGGAAACTATTATGTAGAATTGGAATGAGTGTTGATGACACCTCATAAAGATTCATCATAAAGATTCAGTATGTGGAATTAGTAAATACTAACCACTTCAAATAATGCCTGTCAAGGACCACAATACAGAAAGATTTCAAACCTCATCAGGAATACAACCAGGAAATGATGCTCCCATTCTATATAGTCTCCTCTTAGACTATGTCCTGTGCATATACAAGCACAGATATTAAGAGATGGGCACTGATCATTTACTGTCTATACTCGTGAATAGGTCATACCATTCGATAGTTTGCACTCTTAGTTTGAGGTTGTCAAAGTGGGTGTTTGTGGTTGACTCACGCATAGGTTGTACTATAATGTGGCAAGTTGCCTGATCCATTTTTGACATAAATATAACTTATATTTGTTAAATATTTGTCAAATATTCACCTTTTTATTTCAAAAGTTTGCTTACATATATGACAATATAAGAAAAGTGTTTATTCATTTAGATATGGTAATAAAATTTCATCAGGACCGAAACTCCCCAAATTCTTCATCCTCATCACTGTCAAATATTCTTTTCATTTGTATTTACTTACTCTGTTTAAATGAAAGTTTGGAGGCTTTAGTCCTTAAATCACTTTCATCATATATATGTATAGCTGGCCACTCATATTCAAGGATACCCGGTTAGCTAATCCCTATTACAGATGCTTGCTCAGATGCATTTGTGTTTATTCAACACTCACAGAGCCCACCTGTAGATTATACTGCAACTATGCTGAGCAGACCTTAGTTACAGTTTCTGGGAAAGAGCGTGTTATCTAGCGTGATGAACAATTTGAAGGCCAGCATGCTCAATCCCTTTGCCATGATGACTTGTGACTTTGTGCTAGCACAGCTATTGACAGCACCCAAGGGTTCTGTCTACCCAATTTCACTCACAAGGCTTGAGTCAACCCATGGTATGGTTTTCAGGCACTTGTTGGGATTGATCCCCTCCAGTAAAATCAGAAAGTCACTTTCCTGACAAATCGACCCTGGTGAGATTCGAACCCAGGTCTCATGGTCAGAATGTGAACGTTCTAACTACTCAGCCACGATGACCATATACAACTTTCATTGTAAATCAGATAACAAATGGTATTCATGTGTAGTGCGGATCGAGTGTTTTTCTTCAATGTGTGACGCGGTGCTGTTGGAAGAGTCAATTGAGTAAAATCAAAATGTTGACAAAAATTAATTTTTTCCCTTGTTCTAGTTTATGTTCAAGCCCAGGGTCCTTGCTCTTTCTCTCTCTTCTTTTTTTTTTTTTTTTTTTTTTTTAAGCATTTCACCCCTCATAAGGCAGGAAGCCACTAGCACACAAGGGGTTATAGAGGATTTGGAGCGAGAGCAGGTAGGAATGATAGAGGAAAGGATGAGGAGAAGGATAGTGGATAGATCAAGGCAACTGGAGATGTCAATTGAGATTACATTTGAATATTTGGAGATTATAGCTATCAGGGAAACAGGAATAGCAAAGGGAGTTCCCCAGGCAAGAGGTGCGAGACATGAAGCTATTAGAGTAGAAGAGGTGGCTACATTTAGGAGTTTCAACAGTGAAAGGGTGAGAGTGGGATGCCAGCCTCATAAGACGCTTGAATTCATGGAGTCTGGGAACCAGTGAAAGCAGCTCATCAGAGCAATTACCATGAAAGTATTTGTAAAAAAGACAGAGAGAGGCGATGCCACGTCTGTGAGAGAGCGACTGTAGATGAGATGCCAGATCAGGGCCAATTATATTGCATATCTGTCTCTGGATCTTATCAAGAACCCCGAGGCAAACAGTAGGGGCTCCAGACCATATATGGCAGCATTATTCCATGCAAGGGAAAATGGTTGAATTGCAGATTTGAAGGATTGATTCTGGGAAGAAAAATTTCCTTGCGGTGGACAAAGCAATTGACTCAATGTATTTATTCCATCTCAGGTCTGTAGACAAGGTGAGACCGAGCAGCTGCAAAGAGGTGCTCTCGGGAAGTTGAGTGTTAGACATTCTAATGGGGGACAGGGAAGGATCTCTGTGGTGATTAATAGAGAGTAGTTTTGATTTGGAAGCGTTAAAGTTAACCAGCCAATTACTGCCCCAGTTCACAACCGATTGGAGGTCCTTTTCAACACGAACGTCTAGGTTAGTTTTGTCAGCGATACTAGATTTGTTTTTGAGGCAGGCTACTGATATGCTACAGTCTATTTCAGATTCTCTCTGATGCCAAGTGGTTAACCCCTGATTTTTATCAAAATTTTGCTAAAAAAACAAAGAGTGACCTATCTTTGAGTATATACATTAAGCACTCTATACCACATCCCAAATGAATCTACTAACAGAAGATAACAATCCTGCTTTCCTTTTTGAGGCCAATGTACTGTTGATATGGAGTGGGGGGGGGTCTGTGCAGATGATTAGGTATTCATAGTCAGGATAAAAAAACTCTCAAGAATTTCACTGGGCTTATAAATATACAAAGCATAGTCTAAAAAACTGAACTAGTAGCATTCTTTGTAGATTAGATGGTATGAACTTCTAGTATGGTTAATCAGCTTCTCACATCAAAAAGCTGTCCTGGGTAAGACAATAAACTACATCTGACAGCAAGGTCCTTGATCAGGTGGTTTTGAGGAACATAGAAGCACCTCTTAATTACAGATGTTCCCAGGTCTACCCTGACCTTGGGTGGTAGCACCTGTTAGGGCCCCAGTTATGGGCAAATAGTTAACCCCCCCCCCCCAAAGTGGGGTCAGAACATTATGGAAGTATAAAAATGGGTTTTAATACCAGCAATAAACTTATGTAAAAAATTATTACCAGCAATGTATTTTTGAAAAAAAAAAAAAATTATTACCATCAATAGAGTTTTGGAAAAAAAATATTACCAGCAATACATTTTTTGAAAAAAAAAAAAAATAAATAAATAAATATTACCAGCAATACATTTTTTGAAAAAAAAAAATAAATAAAATAAATATTACCAGCAATACATTTTTTTTGAAAAAAAAAAAAATTAAATAAAATAAATATTATTAGCAATACATTTTTTGAAAAAAAAAAAATAAATATTACCAGCATTTTTTTTTGAAAAAAAAAAAAAAATTAAAAAAAAAATTTGAAAAAAAATAAAATAAATATTACCAGCAATACATTTTTTTAAAAAAAAAAAAAAATAAATATTACCAGCAATACATTTTTGAAAAAAAAAAATAAAAAAATAAATATTACCAGCAATACATTTTTTGAAAAAAAAAAGATATTACCGGAAATACATTTTTGAAGAAAAAAACAAAAAACTAGTTACCAGCAACACAAATTAATATTAAAAAAATCTTGTTTGTATTAAATAACCCATTGAGGTTGATATGCTGTAAAACAAACCAAACCAAACACATCAAAAGGAGCATGAGTCTGTCTCACCAGAAACTTATCCTGGATTATTTCTGATTAGTAATCCTCTATTCACTGCTGTAGACAGACAGTCCAAGTTGATAAATAAGTAAAAATATTAAGATGAAAGAAAATGACGAGTCACAATTTAAAATTATAATGGCTGACAGTTTAGCAATTCCAAAGGGCCAGTTATGAGTCAAAAACAAGGATGAAAAGTGTTAGATTTTACAACTGCCAATGATTGTGAAATCTGAAATTACCAAATCAAGTAGCTTTATGAAATTTATTCTACAACTCTGGACATGATGCATGAATAAATGTTAATTAATTCTTTGTTTAATTATCTGGCGACTCTGGTCTTAGCATTAATCTCTGCTGGATCTCTAATTAAAAATGAAGAAGTCTATCAATATTTTTATCTTTCTGTCTCTCTATCTATTTCTCCCCCATCTATCTGTCTTTGTGTATGTGTCTTTCCCTATCTCTCTATCGAGGTTTATCTTTCTCTTTGTATATGCCTCTCTCTATCAAGGTTTATCTTTCTCTTTGTATATGCCTCTCTCTATCAAGGTTTATCTTTCTCTTTGTATATGCCTCTCTCTCTATCTATCTAGGTTTATCTTTGTATGTCTCTCTCTCTCTCTCTGTCTAGGTTTATCTTTCTCTTTATAGGTTTATTTTTTTCTCTTTGTGTCTATCTTTCTGTTTGTGTATCTGTCTCTCTCTATCAATTTACTTATGTTTATCTTTGTGTGTGTATATATATATATATATATATAATGAGTGTGTGTCTGTCTGTCTCTCTTTCTGTATCTGACTATTTCTTCCTCCTTTCATTTATCTTTCAGATAAAGAAACAGGTTAGATTAATAAATATTTCTTATTTGTTCTTTATCTTATCATTGTCAAATTCTGGTTCATGTTCTATTTGATTCGAGTTCATCTAGGTTAATATTTCTGTGTGTATCTTTCTCTCTCTAGTTATTTCTTCCTTCCTCAATCTCTCTGTATCTATCTATCTCTCTCTGTATCTATCTCTCTCTGTATCTATCTATCTCTCTCTATCTATCTATCTCTCTGTATCTATATCTCTCTGTATCTATCTCTCTCTCTCTATCTCTCTCTCTCTCTCTATTATATCTCTCTCTATGTATCTCTCTCTGTATTCTATCTCTATCTCTCTCTCTCTCTCTGTATCTATCTCTTATTTCTATTTAAATGTCTCTCTCTCTCTAAATATCTCTGTATCTATCTCTCTCTATTTCTCTCTCTC